CTTAGCCTCTTCCAATTCCCAGACTTCCTCTCATCTTCTCCCCTCCTCTTCTCTCAGATCTAATCTCTAAATCTTTTCTCCTCTCTGAATCGATGAAAAGTCGGCGGCGGATGAGGAGATTTGGGGATCTGTATCTCTTCGGCGGCGGCGGCGTTTTGTCCGATCTCTTCTAGATCTCTTCCCCTCCACCCACCAAATCCCTCCTCCCTTTTCCGATTTCTTCGGCGGCGGCGGCGTTCGACGCCTCCTTCGATGCCCTGACGGGGACAACCCCGCGGCGGAGGGCAGCGGGGCCCTTGGGGACGGCGGCTGAGCCTCCGAAATATGCGGGTGTGATTGTCATGGAAGCCATGGATAGATCGGAGTGTTTTTTTCGTGGGGAGTGTTTGGGAGTGGAGATATTTGGGGGGTATTTTGGGCAAGTCAAAGCCAAAATATCCCCTTCTTATTTTGGGGGACTATTCCAAATGGGAGGTTTTATATGGGACGGAGTGAGTAGTATTTATCTTCAAAAAAGTGTCAATTTCTTCAGTAGTACGATGGTCCACATTCACACAATGTTTTTTCTTAACTTACTTTTTTACTTATTACTTATTCTTATTGGAATCAGATCAGATCAAATTATACCAGAAATAGATTTAAATATAACTACATTCAAATCATATCAGATCAAATCACATCAGAACTTATTTTAATCATATCAGATGAAGAGAACGTGACCTCACTTATTGGAATCAGATCAGATTAAATTATACCAGAAATAGCTTTGAATATAACTACATTCAGATGATATCATATCAGAACTTATTTCAATCATATCAGATGAATAGAACGTGACCTCACTTTATGATTGTTAGTATAGTAAATACCAAAGTTGAATTAAGCTCTTTAAAAATTTAAAAGATTCTCGTGTTGGCCCATGAAAAGTGTGAAAAGGTTCACATTTTACATGTAGACCTTAGAATCATGGAAGAACAATTTCAAAATAGAACTTCTATATTTTTAACCCCAAAATAAGAAATTGAATTGTAACATTATGACACTATATGGTGACATCCCACTATGTTTTTTAGTATTATATAGTGACATTATTAGCATTGTAACTCTTATTTTGGGATGAAAAACATGAAACTCTGATTTTGGTACATTCTTCATGTCTTACTCTAAGTCTAGACCTTTTCCCCCAAAAATATTTGGAAATTAGAGATGTAGTATAAATAATAATACATTTTATGACATGAAATTAGAAGTGAAAATTCTGTTTAATGACCACTTTCTAGAAAATTACTTTTATGGTATCTTCAATTTTCTGTGAAGAATTTCTAGATCTCACACTATTTGAATTATACTTCAGGGTAACCTCAATTTTTTTATAAAAACTCCTAAGACCCATATTGTTTGAAATAAACTTTGGAGATCCTTGATATTTATGATAATGTACTCTAAGAGTACATTCTTCTATTTGACTACTAGTATTTAACCCGTGCAACGCACGGGGTCGTACGCATGTTATTTTTAATTCTTTTAAATGTTTATTTTAAGTACATAATTAAAAAATGAAACTAAATATAATAGACAATGTTAGAATTTTAATGAATGATACAACACAAACAGAGTATGATAACTAAATTTAATGGGATGCAAAATTGGAATCGAGCGTATAAATGTATTGATTAAATCCAAATTTTTTACATAAATGGTTTTATTAAATTTATTATATCAAATTTTATAAATCTTATATGTTTTCTTGTTTTTCCCCTAAATATTATTCATTAATTGTTCACATCTCAAAATCACAAAAAAGTAGTATTGAGTAATTATTTATTGTGGGATCTTTTGAGATACACGGCCTCATGATATGCGAAAACATTTTTAAAAAAGAATCAAGTCGAATCAAAGTGTAAAACAATTTAAAGATTGGAGTAATTTTTTTTTTTGGGCACACCAAAAATGAAGTAAGTATTCTAAAATACTGGTATCCCCTCTGTTTCTCAAAAAGGTTCATGTTTTGACTTTGAAAAGAAATAATGAAAATGTAATTTTAATTGACTTTTCAATTTTGCCCGTGATGTGATAGGTAAAAGTAACATGTGATATTTTAGTTATTAGTGAAAAAGTATGATGTGATAGGTAGAGTATGAAAAAGTAGGGGTAAAAGTAGTTTTTTAATAGAAAAGGGAAGTGTTTTAAGAAAAACAAAAAAATTGAAAGAGAAATGATTTTAAGAAACGGAGGAAGTATTTTTTTGGTAACAATGAACCTAATGGATGAATTAATGCTGAGAATTATTGAAATTTAAAACCATTGCGTTTTTCAAAAATATTATCACAATCATAATATTTTTCATAAGATAACGCTACACGTTGATTTTAAAGAAACACACCAACTCTTAGGGTTGAGCTAAGCTCCACACTTACTTTAAGAAAAGGTAGTGTTAAAGTTCCACATTTTTTGTGAGGCAGTTTTTGTATATATCTTGAAAAGTAAAATATTTTAAGAATACATGTATAATAAAGAATGGTTGAAGTGCTATGTGATCACCTATCATATTGTATCATTTGTTTATAAAAACTCAAATACGGAGTGTATAATGATAAATTAATTAATTCCTCCACTCTCCCCTCCAATTATCCCCAAAGGACAGTGGAAGTAGAAATAAAATTCTGCTTTTGGAAAACAAAGCAAATGACATAATCTTTAGTTGCCAAGTCCAAAAAGTGAATTAGCCAAAAAATTGTAGCAACACTGCTTTTTCCAGCTTCTTCCCAACAAAGGAAGCGGAAAAACATGAGGAAATATTGGTGTTGGATGCCTGATTTGCCAGCAAAAACTCCAAAAGCAGGAAACATCAATGCTAAATTATAACATCATAGCTCACCCAAACAAATTACAAAAACACACCTGATTCTTCCCACAGTTCTCTGATTTCATAAAACTGGATTAAACAATTAGAGTCAAGACAGTAAGAAGCTAGCACTCAAAAGACATAAAATTCCCAGAAATAAAAAAGAGGGAAGTGTGTGAAACCCAAAAACATCAATTTCTCAAAAGAAACTAACATGGGTGTTGACATATCAATATATCAAACTGAGTATAAATTGTTCAAACATGCAATCTTATTTAAAACACTAAATGCCACAAAATTGTACTCCCTCTAACTCATTTTAAATTGCCTGATTGCCTTTTTCTCCATCCCAAAATAAATTGTCTGTTACTTGTTTTCGTAAACTTTTAAGAGTAAGATATCTAAATTACTCCTAAAATTAGTCACTTTTCACCACCTTATCTTCTTATTCATCGTCAACCCTTCTAAAAAATAATAACAATTTCAAAAAATTATTTCTATTTTTTCTTTTCCTTAAATATGCACAAAAATCAAAACGGGCGATTTAAAACGGGACGGAAGGAGTAATTTCTTAAATTCAAACAACAAAAAATCCAAGAATCATAAATTATACGGAGTAATATGTCTAACACATAAATAAAACACAAAGAATAACAATACTCTCAAGGTCACATATTAGTTCCAGTATTAATTTTTCTCTATTTTAACGGTCTTCATCTTCTTGCTTAATTGGTTCTTCACCGTCTCTATCATAATGTTCAACCTCTTTCATTTTTTTTGTCAATATTAGAGTCTGTGATATCATCTCCGAGACGTTCAAAGTGATTATCCTTTGATTCCACAAAATCTTCAATCAAACTCTGCATGACAAAAAAACAATCCTTTAATGCAAGATACATTAACAAACAACACCTGTGATTTGAACATAGTTTCAATTAATTCTAAACAGTACTGCTTGATACAATAACATTCATCTCTTGTTTCAAATTTGCCTTGCTAACCTCAAGGATAAGGCATATCTGTTTCCCATTTTTTCCTTTCTATACAGTACTGTTGGTCCTATATTTTCTTGCTTGATACCAATAGCATTCATCTCTAAACTTTTTATTAAACTGAGCAAATCAGAGGTGTTAGTGTACACTAATTCCTCTCACCTACCCGGCCATATCCAATGCCAAGCACGGGTTAAAAGAATATACAAAGTTTATTTTACCGATGCATTTTTTTAGAGACCTAACCTTCACAAAATCAATTGCACCATTCTGCTTTCTCACGTTAAGAGTCATTATCACCGGAACCATACACTAATAAATAAATATTTTGTTTAAATAAATATTAGACCTCTCATAAACACTAAAAACTGATTAAGTGTGTCAGATTTAAGATCTAACGAATGTAAAGAAGAGAGAATATAGGGAAGTCTGAATTAAG